ATATATATAAACATGTTTCAAATTACAAAAAGTACATATGCACATTGCTCTAGTATTTTTTTACTCCATTAAAAAAAAAAAAAAGTCAATTATAGCCAGTCTCCATGACTCTGACACTCTTAAGAACTGGATGGAGCCCAGTCACCACTACCAATTTCTAAGAAAAGGATCACAGTAGAAGTTCCTGGATAGAGTGGGAGAAAATGTAGAACAAAACTTAAAGTCATAAAAGAAAGAGGCCTACTGGTCAGATAGAGACTAGTGGGGCACCAAGATAATGGCCCCTGATCACTCTTCAGATTTGGAGCTGAACTCACCCCTGCGGCTCAGTTTTAGCCAAGCAGTAGATAGGTATATGGGGCAAGGGGGTGGGGACGAGTCAGGACAACACTGGTGAGTAATGCACGCAATACAAGGGTCAGCCATTAAACATTTATCTAAGGACAAAGTTCAGAATGGTTAGGAAAGAAGAAGTAGGAACAAGAGAACAGGGAGGAAGTGGGATCAATGATGTTGCATTGTAGGGATTACAGTCATTGAGGGTGAAGTGCAGTATGGGATTTGTTGAATGTAAACCTTCACTCAATTCATGATAAAAATAAAAAGTTTGAAAATAAAGTCACAGTTTGAAAAACACTATTCTAGAGCAGTGATTCTCAAACTCTTAATCCTTTCAATGTTGACCTCTGCCATGTTGCCTTCTGCTTGCATCCTGCCATGCCTTCTGCTTGCATCCTGTTTTCACATCTGGACAAAGGAGCCATAGTTTCTGATGAAATCATAGAATTTCTTGAAGAATATGTTCTATGAAAGCTGAGAGATATGACTTGGGGTGTAGAGGAGAGGTAAAGGGGACAGAAGTCTTCACTTAGGGAATTAATTCTTTGGCTGGAAAGTCTGAGAAAAGTTCACCCAAAAGGCAACTCATATCATTCATAGGACAGAATGGAGTCTCTAGGGAGGGTGGAGTAATTAGAAAGTTTTTTGTTGTTTTTTAATCTAGAGAGATTTTTAATATTCAAGATATTTTTAGATTGGTCCAAGAACCGTTTTCAGTTTCTAAGTATGATGTAGAATGAATTCAGAATTCAGATAGTCTATGAAAAGAGAATGTCACCATAGTAGGTCCCTGGATACTTTCCTGCGTTTTGTAATTGCATCCATTATATAATGAAATCTGAATTTTATGTACGAAACATGGAGGCGAGAATAATGACAGCATACCCAATGACAGCACTGCGGAATTTAACTCACAAGGATATTGTTTCACTCTTCTGAATAGCCCGTAAAAGTGTCAGCAATGCTAAATTATATAGGAAGGAGTAGTAAAATTATTTTCCAAAATGAGTCTGACTTTGGTGGAATTTTTCTTGAGTTTTGCATAGTTCTTGGGATGTATTTAGAGCCCTCAGGTTGGAAGGCACTCAAAATGCCACTGGGGAAGAGCTGCCTCCTCAAAGTAGAGTAGACCATGATGACACGAATGAAGTAAAGCCCGCGAGACCTTCATTTGCTGACGGGGCACCACTCAAAATGAAGAGAAACAGCTGTAAACATCCATTGAAAATTTGAACGTGGAATGTACAAAGTATGAATCTGTGAAAATTGGAAGTTGTCAAAAATGAAATGGAACGCATAAACATCAGTATCTTAGCCATTAGTGAGCTGAAATGGACTGGTATTGGCCATTTTGAATCTGACAACCACATGGTTTACTATGCTGGGAATGACAAATTAAAGAGGAATGGTGTTACATTCATCATCAAAAAAAACATATCCAGATCAGTCATGAGGTAAATGCTGTCTGTGATAGAATAATATCCATGTGCCTACAAGGAGCTCTGGTAGCGTAGTGGTTACGAATCGGGCTGTCAACCTCAAGGTTAGCAGTTGGAAACTACCAGCTGTTCCACGGGAGAAAGATGAGGCTTTCTGCTCCTGTAAAGATTTATAGCCTCAGAAACCCTGTACAGGGTCGCTATGGGTCAGAACTGACTCCATGGTACTTACCAAGAACAACAACAGGGAAGCCCAGTTAATACCACTATTATTCAAATTTACACACCATCCACTAAAGCCAGTGAGGATGAAATAGAAGAATTCTATCAACTTCTTCAATCTGAAATTGATCAAACATGCAATCAAGATGTATTGATCATTTCTGGTGATTGTAATGCAAAGGTTGGGAGCAAAGAGGAAGAATGAGTGGTTGGAAAACATGGCCTCGGTGATACAAACGATGCTGGAGAATGCATGATAGAATTCTGCAAAACCAATGATTTGTTCATTTCAAATACACTCTTTAGACAGCATAAGTGACAACTATACACATGGACCTCACCAGATGGAATACATAGAAATCAAATTGACTACATCTGTGGAAAGAGACAATAGAAAAGCTCCATAGCGTCAGTCAAAACAAGGCCAGGGGCAGACTGTGGAACAGACCATCAATTACTCATATGCAAATTCAAACTGAAGCTGAAGAAAATGAAAACAAGTCCAT